TTCTATCGGAAGATGATGATATTGAATCTAATGATGATGAAACTAAGCTTCGGCGGCGTTAAAATTTTAATTTCATAAATTAATTTTCAGATTCTAAAAACACTAAGAAACTCACCGGGGAATGTCAGATCTTACCATTACTCGAATTCTCAACCGGTCTATAACTCATCATCACATATAAACTCGTTAAAATGACGTTATAAGCTTAGTAAACAATCCCCAAGCACAAATCTTCAACTACTTTCAATGTCTCCCTCAAGATCTATCTTCATCTTTAAATACAATAGTCTCTTCATTGTATAATGTTTCGATTTATCAACTTTACACTTGAATTAAAACAATAGTTATCCCATGCTCCAAGCATGCACACTATGTTTACCTATGGTCCTTACTTTGTGTGAAATAGATCACTTGTAAACATTTCCAATGACATTCTTTTCAAAATTCCAAATCCTTATTGTAAGTGTGAGAATACCAAGTCCTTGCCACTTACTGTAATCTATTAGATTCTAAGCTTATATGCAATGATCATTTTGTAATGACTATGTACACAAGTCACAAAGACTTCGCCAATTACAAAACTTTCCATTGGAGATTGTTACAAGATAATTCCATAGATACTAAGTCTCATATTCAAAGCGCATTCCTTGGAACATCCTTCGTGCATGAAAGTTTCTAACTTACTCATAGATTCTTTATATCCAACTCCCATTATGGACACTTTTCCATAATTTCCATATGATTAATCATTCTTAATAGAATCATATCTATTCAAAATCATATCAATATGGTCCATTCATTACTACACTTCCAACTGTTCTTAAGTAACCAATCTGTAGCAAACCTCATATTGTCCTTAAACAGTTGTTTAATAACTTTAGTCATATCCGATTCTAGTCCTTTTTCCCTCTTAATGCCCTAGGCATATGGAAAATTAGAACATGAGAATATTATAGAACATGCAATTGATCCTATATCCGAAGCATATGGGACACGATTCATAATGTCTTACATAAACACATGATACTTTACCAGTCTCTTGATATAACATTTCCATATATAGAATTTCCTTATGTCGAATCTTTTCAACATAACATTCAATATGTCATTGACTAAATTTAATTAAAATCTCAATCTAAACTTTTAGAATTGAAATGAAGTATAAGTTTCTCACTCTTAATTATAGCAAAACAACTTTTCAAACACTGCAACTTTCCAAATTGAAATCTTTGTTTTCTACGACCAACATGCCTAACTCGCAACAACTTACCATAATAATTATGCTCCCACTATCAATAATAATTATTATCTTACTAGCATAACACTTATGCTCCCACTAGCTTTGATATGTACCTGAAAATAGCTAGACTTCTAGTAATCAATACTTGTTGACTTTCTTACCAAAGTTCAGATTTCTGATACAAGACGCTTCGATAAGACTTTATCTAGGCTTCTCAAACTCAATACACCTTTCGTTAGATAGCTCACATGTATGTGCAAACCATTTTAGAACTTACAGCAATTAGTCTTAAATTTTCAGACCTTTTGCCATTTCTCACAACTCAAACTATGAAGAGGGATGTCGTATTCATAATCGAATTTGAAAATGCAAATATCACAATTGCTATCTCCTTAAAATATACTTAGTGAAAGCGTTTTCCTCACAATCATTTTTCATGAATATTAAGAGAAACCTTATGACACTTGGATTTTATGATGCATGTGTTCCTCTCTATGTGAATTTGTCATAACAATAATCAAAAGACAAGGTTAGTGAACAAATCCAAACTCATATGGACTCAACTTGTTCAATCTAAATTTTCTTGCCACTTGGGTAGCATAAAGGCCTACCATGTCTTCCAAGTTTTTGAGCAGCTCACCCTTACTGATTAATGAACTTTCACTGATCAAGGTGCTTAGCCTTATGCAAACAATTAAGTACTCATAGAACTTGCATGCATAGTTAACCAACTGGAATGGGCACAATATAACGACCCGTTCCCGGTATGTTGATTTATTGGTAATTATAGTAAGTTTTTCACGAGGGACTGTCCTAGCCTGACTCGCCGAGTAGGGTCGCGTCTGAGGGCACGCGTGAGCCGGGGACTCGACGAGTCCATATCCCCGACTCGGCGAGTCCATCTGTCTGGGTGAAACCCTAAAATCCCCGGGTTGCCCACTATTTATACCACCTTATAGCCCCCATTCTCGCCTCCCTCACCCTGAGAACGCAAGTGATAGAGCCCCAAACCTCCATTGAAGAGCTTATATGTGTTTTGGTGCCTTTTGTGAAGGTGTGAAGAAGGAGAAGAAGGAAGAAGCAAGGAGAAGTGTTGTAGTGAAAAGATCCAAGGCCAAATCAGAGTTTATTGAGGTATTTCGGAGTTCCATCTTATTATATGCTTTAAACTTCCATTAGGGCTCTCCTAAGAGCTAGTTGGTGCTTGTTTCAAGCCTTACACTTGCATGAACGTCTTATTAAGTCGATATATCTATGGATCTGAATGTTGGGGTGTTGTAGAGCCCAGATCTACTGTCTTTTTGAAGTTATATTGCATGATAACCATAGATCTACCCATTTTATGCATCTTTTAGCCTTATTTCCCTTATTCATGAGGTTGTGCACGTAAAGTTGGAAACTTTACGTGGTAAAACAGCTTATTGGACTCAGATCTATCAATTGTATGCATTGGATTCAAACAAAATCAAGTAAAAATCAGTTGCATGGCGGCGACTCGGCGAGTCGGAAGAACGACTCGACGAGTCGGGTCGCGAGTCCCGAGTCCTTCAGTTTTATCAGTGTCGAGTGGACGAGGTGAGTCAGAAGTGGACTCAGCGAGTTGAGAGTAGACTCAGTGATGGAGGGACTCGACGAGTTTGTTCATACAACTCGGCGAGTCCAAGGCAATCTTCTTGGGATCAAGAACAACTCGTCGAGTCTGTTCATACGACTCGGCGAGTCGGATGAAGATTGTCTGAGTTCTTGGATCAAGAGGGTACTCGTCGAG